CAAACATTATCAGAGAAGAGGGCATCCCTGAATTCAAATCCTAGTGCTTTATAGACGATGCTCACTCATATGGACAAACATGAGGTGAAGCGACTGCATCCCCGAGTCCAATGCCAGCAATTTATAGGTGGCGCTCGCTCACCCTCTTCTGCTCCTGAGCCTCTAATAGCTGACGAAGATACCAGGCGCTGTTTGGCTTGCTGATTTCGCGCAGGCCCAGCACCGGATTCTGCAGTGCTCGCACGAGTGCATCCTCATCCTCAGCCTCCACCGCCGCACTCACCGCCTCCAGCGCCACCTCCACTGCAACAGCAGCAGCGGCAGCACAGTCACGACAGTGTAACGCGTGACACAACAATATAACCAGGATAAGCAATAATAAACAAATATATAATAGCCTTATATATATAACACATATATAAAGGACCAACAACTTCCCAGATTTTAAGGTTCCGCGTTCTTAGTTCATATCTTTTAGCGTGGTAATGGTATGAGTTATCATGCTAGCGTTAGCTGTCATCATACGATCACTATATGTCATATGTAAAAGGTTATCATACTATTGTTACTGATGCTATGATGACAAACATCTGAAGCTATAGTCTTACAGTTCGACTTGTTGATGAAGCCCTGCATTTCTGCCTGAGTCAGCAACTCATCATACACGTCAGGTTCGTAGGTCGTGTTTGGATCGATCGACTGTAATGGAAACCACATCTAAAATCACGTCATCTGTAGTGGAACCTTTATAAGATGAGTGAGACGCAACCTGCCATTCACACACAGACATCTAGCAGGCACAGCTCTGAATACTGCGTGCAAATGCGTAGACAACATGCTATCAAGAGCTAATAAATACCTAGAATGTACTGTACAACGGGAAAACGGGGAAAATAGTGCTATTTCACGGTAATATTATTCTACTTTGTATGCGGTGCAGGCAAAGTATAATAATATTGCCGTGAAATAGCACTATTTTCCCATTTTCCCGGTGTACACTCTAGGTATTTATTAGCTCTTGATGCTATGCAAGTCACTAGCACAGAATAAAATACACCATACGCAAACCATTCATAGATGGAAGGCAGTGCATCTACAAACCATATGACACCTTTTGCCTGAGCGATTTTTCCCGTAGAAATAAACGATACTACATTCACAACCCAGTGACTCTCGGCATGTCAGATTAATCTATTAAGCAGTATATTCCAACTGCATAGCACATAGTTGTCATTACCGGAATGCCAACAGATGGGGTAACTTCGCCACAGTATTGATCAGCCAAGAATCGCGTTACTGCTGTGCCTATCACACACATACCACTGCTATAATAATAATCTCATTGTCGACCGCAAACGCTAACAAATTAATAGCGACAACAGCTACCGAACAGAACAATACAGTGGGCAAATACGACACAACCCGTCGCACCGATACACACACGCGTTGGTCGTTCACCCCTCGCCTGCCTCCGTGCGGGCGCGCGCGGGGCGACGACGACGCTACTCACTCTGTTGAGTGCGTTCTGCACTTTCTCCTGCTTGGCGGCAAACAGCAGCTGCTGGTAGGTGGCCATGTTGTCTGCGTCGAGGCTGACGAGGTAGGCGGCCGGATTCTTGAGAGCGTTGAGCGTGTGCTCCGGCTCCCGCCGATCCAACGCCTCGTTGATGGCAATCACCGCCGCGTGCACTCGCAACAAGGTCATAGAGACGTCCGAGTCGCGGCATTAGTGCACCGCCGCCGCCCGGCCATACGACACGGCAGCGCGATACGTATGGTGGCGGCATCGCACTTCGAACACATCCTGCCTACAACGAACTCACTACACCACACAGCGTCGTATCGCTCACACACACAACTGTATCGCTCACACAACCACTGTATCACTCACACACAGCTGTGATCCCTCACACACACCACTGCAGTCGCATCACACACCGACTCTTCTGGCATATCGCCGTCCACACACACCACTACATCGCTCACAACACACCAGCCTGTATTCACTCACACACAACCACCTGCATCACTCACACACACCGCTCAGTCGCTCACACACCACCACTGTATCGCTCAGCACACACACAGCTGTATCACTCACAGCCGCACCACTGCCATCAGCTCACACACACCGGACGTGTATCGCTCACACCACACCGCTACATTGCTCACACACACAGCTGTACTACTCCACCACACACCACTCTGCATCACTCACACACACCGCTACATCGCTCACGCCCGACCAGCAGCTAAGTACGCGCTCACACACAGCGCCACTGTAGTCGCTTAACACAGCGCACTGAGTACACTCCCCACCGAACCACACCGCTACGATCGGCTCACACACACGCACTTGCATCACTCACACACACGCACTGCATCACTACACACCACCGCCTGTACGCTCACACACACACCGCTACAATCGCTCACCAGACACACAGCATTGTATCAAATTCAGCCACAACACAGCTGTTATACTCACACACAAACACAGCTACAACATCCGCTCACAACACCACTCAACTGGCATCACTCACACACACCAGGGCGCCAACGGGGCATGCCGCTACAGGGTCGCTGCACACACACAGCTGTCTCGTCACAACACACCGCACTGGTATCAACTCACGCACACCACCCACGTTGTAGTCATTCACACACACCGGGGCGTTACGACCGCGTACAATCCATCCACGACACACACACACCACTGTATACCTCACACAACCCACTGACACTCACCGCACCCACAGCCGCTACACATCGCTCACGACCGACCACTGTAATCGCTACACACACACGTACACTCAACACACACCCGCTACATCGCTCACACAACCTCACACACTGCATCCCTCACACACACCAACTGCACACTCACACACACCGCTGTATCGCTCAGACACACCAACTGTATCATCTCACACACACAGCTGTACCTCACCACCACCGCTGTAATCGCTCACACACACCACTGTATACACTTCACACACACAGCGTAGCGTCAAAATCAACACACAGCTGTTATCGGCTCACGACACAACCACTGATCATCACAGCACACCCAACGTACTCACTCACACAGCAGCCGCTCATCATCACACGACACCACTGTAAATCGACTCACCCTACACACACACTGTAAGTCACTCACACACACACAACCACAGACCGACTAACCGGTCGCCCTCACACACACACCACTGTACGATCCCGCGATTACCACAACCACCTGTATCACTCACGCCACACCAAGCCCGAGCCATCGTGCTGCACACACACTCACTGCTTCCATCCAGACACACCAGCGCAGTCCACACCACGAAGCCACCAGGCTGTATCGCTCACGGACAGGCCCGCCACGTGGTATCGAACCACCACAACAGCTCAGTATCCGGGCACTACACAGCCATCACAGCTGTAATGCTCACACACACCCAACCGATGGCAGCCCAGCCTGTGATCGCTACAGGTCCACACACTAGCTGTAGTCCGCTCACACACACCGCTGTATCAGACCTCACACGCACCACTGACTCACTTAACACGACACACACACACTGCCATCACTCACACACACAGCTGTATCGCTCACCGACAGCCCACTGTCATCGCTTGACACCCACACCACTGTATCGTCCAACCTACCCGCTACATCACTCATCGAACCAAGGATCCACACAACACACAGCTCGCCATCGTCCCCTAATGAAAACAACCGTCAGCATCGCTCACCTCACCACACCGCTACATCACTCGAGCCAACAGCACACGCCGCTAGACATGTCGAGCTCCGCACACACAACAAACCGGTACCCGCCTCGCATCGCTCACACAACCCTGAACACTACCTCGACTACGCGCGAGAATCATTCACCTCGCGACAAACACCAGTCCTGCCTGTATCGCCATCACACACCATTGGTACCACTCACAACCGCCAGCTACATCACAACACACATCTGCCCGCCGCTGCATCGCTCCACACACAACCACTGCATCACATCACACCACCGACGCAGTCGCTCACACACACAACTGTAATCGCCTCACAACACCACGGCACCATCACATACACCAACGATACATCCTTCCACACACACGGAGGCCACTGCCAGTCACTCCCACCACAGTGACATCTCTCTCTCACGACCCATCGCTCCCAATCGTCGTCACGAAATCCGTCATGATCGTTGCAATGTCGCAGGACTACAGAAGCAACGGAGCTAGGGCACCCAATTGCGGATACTTTCGCGCGCCATCGGGCCAATGTATCTCACGTGCTGCCTCGTCACTGTCATCTCGTTCGCAGTGAGCACCGCCACCTACTCTTGCTGAGGCGGGCATGTGATGCCGTACTTGCCAGCTCATTCCTCCTGGTGCTGAGCTCGCCCCTCCTGTTATAGACGACAAAAATGCTACCATGGTTAACATGGTAGCAACACCGTGATAACAAAGACCGACAGACGACACAGCGCTCGCTCGCTCGCTCGAACGGCGAGTGCAAGAACGCCGCAGTTAGTAATATAAACCCATCACCGGACATAAATGTAAGCCAGCCAACAACAGTATAAAGTAAGCCACAACAGGACAAGTAAATGTAATCACCCAAAGACAAATAGTAAAATGTAAGCCACCGACAGACAGTAAAATGTAAGCCACCAACAAGATAGTAAATCATAACCACCAAACAGTAAATGTAAGCCACCAACAGATAGTAAGTAAGCCATGCTCAGGCCAGTAAACATGAAACCACCAAACAGACAGATAAAATGTGTAAGTAGCTCAGATAGTAATCATAAACCAATCACCCGTACCAGGTCGAGCGATTGAGTAAACACCAATAGATAGTAATTAAACACCATACAAATAAGTAAATCCCGAATAAGCCATGCCAGACCAGTCTACTGGAAAGCAAGCGCGTCGACCCATAGTGCGGTCGCGAGCGAGGCTGGTGCCCCGGGTGGGCTCCGGGCCACCAAACTTGGGACCCGATGTGTTTCCGGGGGATACACCCAAAATTTCCAAAGTGTAAAATTTTGTGGCCCGGATCGGATGCCACCTTAAGACATTGTCCAGTTGTCGCCGAAAAGTGTGATAAAAATAATTGTTTTCAATTTACCCTGCTAATTCCCTGCCCAATATCAAAAAGAGAGCGAGCATTCCGC